ATTTAAACAAAATAAGTAAAAAAAAAAAAATATAAAAAAATAAAAATAAAAAAGAAGACGAAGAAGAAGAAGAAGAAGAAGAAGAAGATGTGACGATGATAATAATGATGACGATGAAAAATAAGAAAAAGGTTGGGGGAAAAAAAAAAAAATAAAGGAAGAAGATGATGGGAGAGTGAAACAATAAAACAACGATTTTGCACATTAGCAAATAAATATTTTGCTAATTTAAATATTCTTGCATAAATTAATTAATTAAATTAATTAATTAATACATAGATACCAACAACCGATGTTGATTGGTGTCTTCAATGAAGACTTGAAGTAAGAAAGAAAAGAAAAGAAACAAAAATAACGATTTTACATCGATGAATGAATGAACGAACGAAACGAACCGTGTAAATGACGATTGACACCCACCCTTATTAAGGGTTAATGGGAAGGGAACGTGTGTTCGAAGGGAGATCAAATAATTGACGAATATTTGTTCATTATTATTATTATTATTATAAATGAACAATTGATGAATAATAGATAGATCTATGGATCTCGTGGCACTTGTACATTTATGATTTTAAAAAAATATTAATCTCTACTACGAGTTAAGAAATGGGGAAATTTTAATGCGAACGAGTTAGGAAAGGGGTAGTTTTTTTTTTTTTTTATTATTATATAAAAATAATAAGATGAAGGTAATTTGTTTATTATCCTTCTTGTTGTTCTCCTTCTTCTAGGATAGCGCGGGATATGGGATTTTAAACGATGAAGAAAAATATATCGAATTTTATGTAAAGAAAAGTTGATAATAATAATAAAACAAACAAAAAAAAAATGAATAAAAGGAAGAAAAAAAAAAGAAATTGAGAGAGAGAGAGAGAGAGAGAGAGAGAGAGAGAGAAACGTTGAAGGTACGAAAATTTGGAAATAAATAAACAAATAAAGAAACATTTTGTTTAACAATTGTTTGCCAAATAATTTCGTGCAATTTATCATTCAAACTATATAGAGTGCATTTTAATTTTGGAAAGTCATTTTAATTGATTATATTTTTTTTTTCTTTCATTCATTAATTGAATTTTTTGTTGAGTTATTTTTTTTTTTCTTTCTTTTTGTTAATTTAAATCAAATCCCAAATCATTTTGTTTTTCGTTTTCATCGATTTTCTCTCATTTTCCATTTAATCGATAAAATAAGCAAATATACGTAGATGGTTTGAAAAGTATTTCTATTGAGTCTTCACCAATCAAACAATTTTCTTATTTTTTTTATTTAGAAAACAAACCAAAATTAAATTGAATTTAATTTAAGGAAAAAAAAAAAAAATAATCAAACTCCTTTCATTGGGTTTTTTTTTTTTTTTTTTTTAAATGTCAGACTCAAAACTTTTCAACCCATCCGTATATTTATGAAGAAGTAAGAAGATGGTAGATGATAAAAAAAAAAAAAAATAATAAAGAAAAAAAAATTCATAATAATTATAATGAAAAATAAAAAAGAAAAAAAAAAAAAGAAGAGAATTATAATCCTCTCCATTTTTTTTTTTTTGTTGACAATTAGAGAATTCGTAAATTTAGTAAGAAAGCGCACTTCTTCTCCATTTTTTTTTTTTTTGTATAATGCGCTTTTACTTCTCATTTATTATAAACATTCATGATACATGTATAAAGTACCTGAGAAATCAAAATAATAATAATATTATTATTATTATTACTATTATCATTATTATAATTATAATTATAATTATTATTATTATTATTATTAATTGCTATTATTATTGTAACTTTTAATTATAATAATAACGCAGTATCTCTCTCTTCGCTTGCATTCGCTACGATGCATTTTTTTTTTTGGGGTTTTTTTTTTTTTAATTATTATATTTAAAAAAGAAAAACAAAACACTACTCACGTATTTCAGTGGGTTGAGTTGTTTACAAGAAACTCTTTTTAAAAAAAAAGAAAAAAAAAGTCGCCTTTTTTATGCATGCAAAATATTTTCTTCCCCTAAATAAAAAAACAAAAAAAAAAACAAACAAAAAAAATATTATTATTATGAAAAAAAAAAAAATAAAATAAAAAGGTGTAAAGAAAAGAAAAGGAGAAAATGAAAAAGAAAAATAAAAAAAAAAAAATAAAAAGAAATAAAAATATTGCAAAGCAAACCTTAAGAAGAGAAAAGAAAAACTTTTTTATGACTGTGTGTTCGGTGTCTACAAGTTTCTGTGCCTTTTTTTATTATTATTATTAATATTATTGTTTTATTTTTGTTTCAATTACAATTTATAGTAATTTTTTTGTCATTGCTGCAATTATTCACAATGTTTCGATGTTTTGGTTAATTTTTTTTTTTAATTTTCTATTAGAAAACCCGTAGACAAACCTTTCACACGTCTTCGTTTTGTTTTGTTTTAATTTTTTTTTTTTAATTTTTATTACAAAAATTATACTTAAAATATTTTTGATCCTTGTACAACTTTGTACAACTTCCGAAGGATGGGTTATTATTTGTTTTTAGAATTACATTTAGATTTACATATTTTCTAAATCAAATGTTGTATCTCGTGTCGAAGAATTCGATTCGTTGGTTTGGTGTTTTAATAAAAATTTATTTAAAAAAAAAAAAAAAAATATTTAAAATAAAATACACAAATTATTTTTCTAAACATTCAAGTATACGAATCCAAAAAAGAAAAAAAAAACAATCAAAAAATGAGATAACAAATAAATGACTGACCGACGAGTTGGATTTATACTTTTACATGAAATTAAAAGAAAAATATATAAATAAAAAAAAAAATTATAAAAAAATATATACATATATATATATATATATAATAAAACACCTTGATACTGAATTAATTTTCAGTGTATTAATTAAGAAGCTTGGTATTTTATTTTTTTTTTTTTTTAATTTGTACTTGTGTGCGAGATTTGGCAATGAAAAATATACTTGTGTGCTAATTAAACGTATTGATAAACCAGAAAAAAAACAATTAATTATTAAATTATATATTTTTTTTTTATAAATTAATTCGATTCATTCGAACGAATGAAATTGCAAAGTTTTGATGATTAATTTGGATAATTTGTTTTTGCATACAAATAATTTTTCATTGCACAGAATCATCCCACTTATGGTTAGACATCAACGTAACATCAAATTATTGTGCACTTTTTATAGTGAAAATATTATTCTACCTTTAAATAATAACTTTGAACTGTAAAGAACAAAGAAACAAACAAAAAAAAAAACAAAAAAAAATTAGTGCCGAGTGAGAAACAACACATACATATTTTATTCGCATTTACGAAACAACTGTGTATTGTATTTCGGCACCATGAAAATAAAAATAAAAATTACAAATTATTTATCAAGAGTTTTTTGAACAAGAAATCAATCAACCAACCATCACCACAGGATTCCAATCAAAACATTTTATCCAATGCTTTCCATATCCAATTTCAATGAAAAATAAATTCATTAAAAAATAAAATGAGTCTTAAAACAAATAAAATAAACATTTAAAACAATATTGATTAAAATAATGTAATAGTAAAAGTTTAAAAAAATAAATGCATGAAATTTTGTAATGAAAATAATTGTTGTTATCAAAGTAAATGTGTTGCAAGTGAAATTGCACAGTCATATAAAAATATTTCTAAACAAGTTTAGCAAATGATTAATGAAAAAGTTGATTAATTAATTATTGTTTACGATTAAGAGTACATATTTTTATATTTAATTAAATAATAATTGAATTATCACGTTCATAAAAAAAAAAAGAAAAAAGATAAAATTTGCTTATGAAAATAAATGTGTTGCTAAGTGAAAATAGCACACTTACATAAAAATATTTCTGAACAAGTTGAACGACAAGTTGTAAACCACAAAAATGAACGAATTAATCAATTGTTTACGATTACGAGTACATATTTTAATATTATATACTAACTGCATATTATTATTATATTAATTCTAATAAAATAATAATTGAATTATAAGGATCATAATAATAAAGTGAAATTTAATTCGAGTTATAAAATGAAATAATAAAAATCAAGGCACGTTTGATAGAGTCACCACCAGCAAGGTATACGGTTTAGTATTAAAATTAGTCATTGAAAGTACTTAGTCGAATGAAGAAGAAAATGGAAAATAGACAGAAGAAAGAGAAAGAAAGAGAAACGTAATCGTGCAAGTGCATCTTCTTCGATAATAATTCACTGACGATTGATATAGCGGTACGATGATTGCGATGTTCCCAAGTCCGATGTTGTCGGCTTTACTGAAGTCGATACGAAGCTTCGGGTACGTTTGAGGTTAAAGGGCAAACCCGCTATATCATTACGACTCACACCTGTACCTACAGGTAGGTTGCGCCAATGTTTCTTCCCCTTATATTTCCAAGCGGAACCGCTAAATAAATTATTATTACCATTACTCTATACAAGCCACATAGATTTCTCGCATAATCATTTCGCATATCATTCTCATATTATTCTCTCTTCATCTTGCTACGTGTTTTGTCATTACTTTTATTCAAAACAATATTAAATTATTTTCTTATTCTTATTAAATCATTCTAACTATACTCTATTGTTTTTGGATATTATTCATTCAGGTTGGGTCAGGATTATTTCAGGATTTTTCTGACGGTAATTCATTTTAAATGAATGTGATATGAATTTTAGCAAATTTGCATTTTCAGGTTTTCTTTTGTGGAAATCATTTTGGTTTTCCTACTTTTTTATAATATAAAATTAAAGATTGAAGCTTTAAGTATCACACAAAGTAAATTTGAAAAAAAATAAATAAGTTGCGTCAGGGTTACTTCAGGATCTTTGATTGTAATTCATTAAAAAATGATGTGATATGAATTTTAGCAGATTTACATTTTCAGGTTTTCTTTCGTGGAAATCATTTTAGTTTTTCTACTTTTTATGATAGCAAATAGATTGAAGGTTCAAGTATCACATAAAGTGGGTTAGAAAAAGGGATATTGTGTAAACGAGTTGACTCGTTCGTTGTTCATGCACTAATTTGTAATTTACGAGAGTAAAGTGGTGGGGACTTTGAGGGTGGAGGGTGTTATAATATGCGAGAGTAAACGTTAACGCCAGTAAATGAGCTGAGACAAGATGTATTATTTTTTTTCTTTCCTTTACGTGCTTGCCCTCAACCCACCAACTGGTTCTATGACTCCTGTGGGGTTCTTTTAACCCTTTTCTTTTTTTCCTTTCCTTAGAGTTCCACCGATTCTTTATCCTTTGCTTCGTTTATTTCTCCACTACCACCACCACCACCACCATCACCATCACCATCATCATCACTACCCTCTTACTTGGTTTACCTTCGTAAGACGAAAGGGTTGAGAAAAAGACAGAAAGAGAGAAGGGCCGAGAACTGTAAATTACCAAGAGGGCATTTTGATTAAATTTTTTATTGCTCCTTCTAAGGCGTGCACAACCTGCTGATTTAACGATCGCGCTTCGTAAGTTTTATAGTCCCTTTTTTTCGTTGGACCGAATCTTTTGCGGGATAAGAAAAAGAAATCGTTTGGATTACGTGTCAACGTCAATGGCAACCTTTATTTTTTTCCTTCATCACTTCCAATTTATTTACAGAGTCTAGGGAGTCCTAGGATTGGCAGGTTCGAACAACTCAATTGTGATGCAACCGATATTATTTCAGGACATCATTTAGATCCCTAAATTTACAATGAACAAAACTAATGTATTAATAAACATTAACCAAGTATTTAACATTTGTTTCAATTATTACCCATGTGTCAATCAAAGGGCTAGAAATTGCACTTGTAAAAGGTCAAACCACCATGTGTAGGAGAGTTTAAGAACTCAATTGTGATGCAACCGATACTTGGGTAAGATATTATTTCAAGATCACATTCTTCAGATTCCTAAGTTCACAAATAAAAAAACCATTAAGCTAATATTCAAATGTTATGAACATTAGTTCCAATCATAATCCATGTGTCAATTAAAGGGCTAGAAATTGTATAAGTAAAAGGTCAAAGCACCACGTGTATGAGAGTTTTAGAGATTACCAATGAGTTTAGCGAATACTGGACGATCGAAGTAAAGGTGGTGCAAAGGGGGTGGTGGTGGTGGTGGTGGTGGTGTTGAGAAAAAGACGAAAAGATAGAAGAAGAAGAAGAAGGGTGGGTGGCAATGGTGATGGTGGTTGTGTTGGTGGTGGTTGGTGGTGGAGGTGGTGGAGTTGTCGACTATGGTGGGGGGCGGAGGAGGCGGAAGGTGTCACGTGGTCGGTAGGAAGCTCCGCCTTCGCGGCGTAGCTCCAAGTACGGCGCGTCATTCATGGCCGAGCTAAAGGCTACGCCAGCCAGCACTCTCCGCCGTTTCCGTCCGGCTGCAACAGCGGCTCTCTCGCGAGAGGAGATCTCCGTGTTAAGACTCCTCGTCAAAGTCTTTTCCTTCCTTCTTTTTCTTTTGTTTTGTTTTGTTTGTTTACTTGCAACCTACCCCCCTTATCAACTTCTTCTTTTCAATATCGTGTGTTTTTTAATCAGTGTTTTAATTAATCGGTGAACTTATAGCTGATAATTTCTACCAAGATTTTAGTGTTACCAATTAATTGTTGAAAATTAAATAAAGTGTTTGGTTATATATATATTTGTTGTTATCAGTGAGGACATGTTGTTGTTGTTGTTGTTATTAAAAAGAGTATGAAACTCGGTATGGTGAGTGATAAGGCGATCGATCGATCCGTTGATCGATCGATCGCTGTGCGCCATCAGGGTGATGATGATAACAGGGTCGAGTAGACCTACTCGACTTCAGTGCTACGAAATATAGATCGAAGTAGAGAAAGAGAGAGGGTGGGAGAGGGAGGATAAGAAGGGTGGGAGAACAAGTGGGTTAGAGTTTAACAGGGGCTTTCGTGGTGATTTCGACGCGGAGGAAGTTGTTAAACGAATAAAAAGAAGAAGAAGAAGCAGAAGAAGAAGCAGAATAAAAAGAAAAAGGGTGGAGGAGGAGGTGAAGGAGGAGGTTCGAAGTTCGTGGTGGAGGCCTGGCTGATGCACCGTGGCTGCGGCGGCGGCGTCGCCGGAAGCGGTGCTGCTGCTGCAGGATCCGGAAGTGCTGCTGTATCTGCTGCCGTGGTTGCTTCTGGAAATACTAGCGGGGATGGGACTACAGGATCATCAAGTGTTGTAACACCGGAGGAACGTATTTTGGATCATCATCATCATCGTCATCATCCTGGTGGTCATCATCATCATCATCACCATCATCATCACAATCATCATCATCATCACCCGTCGGCAATGCCAGGTGCTCCAGGTTTTCACTGGGGTGCCATGCTGGCAGGGCACCACGCGGCTGCCGCCGCTGGCATGATGCAACCACCTTTACCAGCTCCGGGCGAATACGCCCCGGCTGCGGCTCATCATCATGGGGCCACCCACCCCGCTATGCCCATGGACCTTCACGTTCACCAGGGCTTCCCCTACTACAGGTTCGTTATCTCGAATATTTTAGATTGGAGATCTATTCCGTGTTTGTTTATATTGAGTCACAGGATGATTTGATCGATCGTTCGCAGAACTTAAGAAGAAATCGATTCTCATGTTACATGCGTAACACATTATATTAAATATTTAATGTATCATTTTATCACTCGGCTTAATGTCAATCAAATCTCTCAACGTATTCAATGTCCATACTTTGTAACTGATTAGAGATTGATTGATATATACGATGATCGGATACGCAATTATTTCAGATCTTGTTTACAATTAATAAAAACAGTTTGTAGTTAAAGACTTTAGATTCTTCGTTGAGAATTCCTAAGATCCAATTATGGATATCAATCATGGGGAATGTTAAGAAATTTGAGACGTCAGTAATTTAAGTGACACTTGTTGCTGTCCTCGCTACTTCTTAACACGCGTTGTCTACTCAATCTCAAATTCTATGGGTTGTCTCTCTCTCTCTCTCTCTCTCTTTCACACCATCTCCGGAAATGTCTGTTTTTAAAGTGTGAGTTATTTAATTCGTTACTCAGCAGCAATCGGTTCGTACCGGCGGCAATGAAAAGTTGACAGCAACGCAAAGTTTCTTCTGGCATTTCTCTTATCCCGTTTTATTCTGAAGGACGTTCAGGGTTAGAAAGATTGATAAAAGGAATGCACCCATTAGTAAATGTTCAATGCAACTCAGCAATGGTCATTCCACTTGCTGATAGGTGGTGGTGGTCGTATATTACAACTGGGTCAGCGCACGGTGTCTTCTATTGCAGTTAATTATAATACAGTGACGTAGGAAACGGGACATCTTGTTGTAACGTACATAAACGACTAATCCAAGATAGAAAGAGACTTAAATCAACTAAACATACCTTTCGAATAGAAAACACGCTAATATTATTACTTTTTATTACCACGAATTTTTATGAAAAGAAACCAAAAAAAAAAAAAAACCAAACTGTACAAGTTTGTTTCACCAGTCTACATATAATATTTCACTATTGTGACACTAAAAAGACGTAAATTGTAAACCAGGAAAACCTGCTGGAGTGGGTAATCCTGATCTAACTGATACACACAGAGGTATATAATACTTTCAACAATTCTATGGAGAAAGTAACTCTCGCATTTAAAAACGTTTTGTTCCATAATGTGCCTCGTGTTCATTTCTTTTTTCGTCAGTAGACTTTTTATTGGACGATATAACTTGGGGAAAGAGAGAATCATAAAAAGCGACCAACAAAAACGAATATACAAAAATAAGAAGACTTTTGGGTAGAGTTTAGAAAAAGTTAAACTCGTTGGTTATTTCTAATTTGAAATGAGTTACTTTAATTGAAGGACACGTAAAAAGAAAAAAAAATAAAAGAAAAAATAAAGTAGAACACGATAAATAATTTTTGAACACCTGATGTGGAAACAAAGTGGTAATTAGTTATCGACAGAAGAGAGTGCATCTGTCTTCGAGCACGGAAGCACGGTCGCACAGGCATTGAGAGTAGTTATTGAATGATGGCTCAGCCAACTACTAATGGGGCCGGACGCGCGCGAACATAAGGGATAGTAAGAAGCACACATGGCCAGTAGAAGCAACATACGAGATAGTTGCTGTTGCTGCGACAAGGGAATCAAGGTTGCTGTGCCGTCAGCAAAAAAGAAAAAAAAAACAAAAAAAGAAGAGGATATTTGTGGTCGATCAGAAATTCTTTAGGTTGATCAAAGATCGATAGCACTGTTCGTTCGGGTTGATGTGTATCGGTAGCAGGGTCCTGTTGGTGGTAATCAACAATGTTAAATTATATAGTATGTTAATGAAAAAAAGCTTCTTGAGGGAAGATAAGAAAAGAAGAGTTTTCGGAATGTGTGCTGACTGCATGTGCTTGAACAAACGTGTGTTGGGTTAACGTATACATACGTGGGACGAAGAAAAGGATAGATAGAAGAAGATGAAGAAGAAGGACCGCACGAGTTCGTTCAGAGCCAGGCTGGCTGCCGCTGACCAACCGATAAATAACTTGCTTGCGTTTTTATCGGGCCCGACGTCGCTTCTCTTGTACGCATCTCGCGATAGTATTGATGTATTCCTATGCATGTATGAGAATAAACACACTTGGAGTGTCCTGTTGGTAGAGAAACAGTCGATGGACTAGGGCAAGCAACTCAACTTACACCCATTCATTCCCTTATCTTTTTCCAAAGTTGCGAAGAAGAGTTTCTCTGGAATTCTTTTAATAAATAATATTTTCTTGAGGGCCTATCGTCGACCTTTACCTCATCCTCAATCCTTACCCCCCTCCCCTCCTATTTCTTGCACCAACACTAATAACGATAAGAGTATGTATATGTGGGGTCTACAACATATGCGAACAGACATCTAGAAGACATCTTTCCCTTCTTCTTGTTCTTTCTTCCTTCCTCCCACCCTTTCTCCAATCTCTTCACCACCACTTGCATTCGTGTTCCTCTTCTCTCTTTCTCTCTCTCTCTCTCTCTTCGTTTCGATTCTTCAGTTAAACCACCGTGCAGCCCGGTAGTTGGAAGCCCCAGACTTTTTTCTCGGCTATCGGCCAGTGGATCGCGCTGCGATGCTGGACTGCAATCAGAATTGATTATAGCCTGCCGAAACTCTGGCGCGGCGTGCTCATATTATACAACTTGCCCGCGGCTCTTGGTCCGTTCTATCTTCCTTCTTGTTCTTCTTCTTGTTCCTCTTCTTCTTCTTCTTCTTCTTCTTCTCCCTCTCACTTTCTTTCTCTCTCTCTCTCTCTCTCTCTCTCTTTCTATCTTTTAAAACGAAACGAACCATCATCTTCGTCATACCCACTCCTGTCTCATCCTTAACTCCATCTCGTCGTTATCGTTGTCGTCAATAACCAAGAATAGTATTTCTGTTCGATATACACGCCAAATGACAATATATTCTCATCAACGTCACTGACCTGACCAATCGGGACAATCCAAATGACACCTTTTGGCTATCGTTCCAACTTTATAAACTTGGGCCTCTTATTTCATCAGATGATTCCTGTTATCAGTCCAGATACAATGTGTCCTGTCCAGAAAAGATGATCGTTCAGGTAAACGTGGAATGTTGTATCATACGGGGAGTTTCAAAGTGTTAATTAAATGGGGGAGAAGAATATAAAAGTTTAGTGTTCCCTTGAAATTCAGTTCGTAAGATTATCAAGACTCTCCCTACCCCACCCCACCCCACAACCCTCTTTGATCGGTTCATGTTTTATTTATTTATTCGGGAATTTTTATTTTTATTTTGTTAATTGGAGGATACTTGTGAGTTGACAGAAATCAAGTTTTAAGCATCACGGTTGGTTAGGTTAACACGTTGACCGCCATGTCAGTCATATGTGGCTGACACTAGACTTTCCGTTTGGGCCACGTCCGTCATAGATGACTGACACGTTTAACTATTTTTTATTAAAAGAAGGTGGTCCTTTTACTATTGAATTGGCTAGACACGCTAATCCATCTTGTAACTTTTTTCCTATTGGATAATGGCTCCTTATAGGAGATGGGGTAGGGCAACAGGAGAATGTATTAGAGAGAAAGAGAAGAGGATAAGCAACAAGTCGTTTTCGCGCGGGAATTACCTTGGCCTCCAATCAAGTTTAATAATGTAGATGCGGATCAGTGGATAAGAACAGGCTACTGATATCGGTGAGGGGTCCCCCTTACTCACTCACTCACTCACTCACTCTCTCTCTCTCTCTCTCTTGTTTCATCCATGCTGCGTTTCACTCTGAACTACTCCAATCGATGATCCCTTTCACTATAATCGATAGATCGCGGACCATTTACCGCGTAATAAAATACTCTCTAAAATCCTAGACGGGGAAAAATGGTTAAATCAGAATAAAGTAATATAATAAGATAAAAAGAAAAAAAACAAAAAAAAAAAGAAAAAAGATGAAGGACGACGAAGATGAGATGAAACTAAAATAAAAGGAAATAAGTGAATGAGTCTGGACGAGTCAGGGTTGTTGAGTTATTATTAACTTGTTCTAAAAGTCATTTTGTTTTTGTTAAAATAAGATGATTGTTCAGATAATTCATCTCATTCTTAAGTAATGATAATCGAACTTGAGTCTCTTATAAGTGTAATAATATTTAACACCCCCCCTCCACCTCTTTAACATGCAATAATCTTTTGGTATGGTTGAGTGAAAGTTAACTGTTCAAACGATTTAATATTAATCAGTGAATCTTTGAGTTTGTTAAAACGATCTGTCGATGTTTAAGAAGAAAAAAAAAAGGGTTCATGGGGAATTGGAAAAGAAAAATATTGGGCAAAGTTGAAGGGTCCAAGTGGTTCTTATCGAAACAGCTTATCAATCGTGGGATTGTAACACACACGAGATATGGACACACCACTACCACTACCACTATTATCATGACTACTACTATAAGAGTAGTGGTAGTGGGATTAGGGTGAAACTGCAGAGGGGTGGATATCAATCTAATAGTAATGAACAAGCGACTTTGAGTTGCTGGAAGACTTTGAAATATACATTATGTGGGGATTATGTTTATGCATGCGGGAAAGGCGCTGAGAGTATTTTTCTTTTGATATAGAGATGGTTGTTTGGTAAAAAAAAAAAAAAAAAAATAAGAAGAAACAGCATCTTCATCTACCACCACAAACCGTCGGATGAGATTTGAATAAAAGTATCTGTCGCGTTTCTTCCTTCTCTCTTTCGTTATTGGATGAACGCGATTCGCTACTATCTTTTTTTTTTCTTCTTGATCTTCTTTCTTTCTTGTTTTTTCTTTTTTTTTTTTACAACTGCGTGCTCTCATTAAATATGTATAGATTCGCACCCCCAAACTCTTGCTGGCTTTTTCTTACCCATCAACATCACATACACACACGTACATGTTCTTTTTCTTTGCTATACTCTCCTGTCTTTCTTCATATATCTTTCCTTTTTTTTTCTTTTTGGTTGGTAATAATAGAAGTCACAGGACGATTACG